ACTCTTTTATATTGCTAAGTATTCCCAATTGAGCCTTCATTTTATTTCGTTTATTAAGGAGCTCTTTTAAAACTGATGGATATAACCCCATTTTATTATTTTTATTTTCATGTTTTATAGACCATGCATGTAAAATTCGGCCATTGAAAGGGAACTCGATTTTATAGAGGGTCTCGCCCGCTTCTTTGGGCGATAGAGTCATTTTCTCAGGTGAGAGATTATAGTTCATTATAATACTTGGGTATAAAGATGCGAAATCCAAACCCATGACAGGCCGTTCATTTTCTAAACCTTTATCTGGTGGAAATACATAGGCTCCAGGGAACGTGCTTTTTTCTTTTTGCCTAGAAGAAATCAAAGTAATTAATATATCTCTTTTCCACGCTTCAGCACCTAATAGATTACATACCTTCGTACCCCAGCATAGTAGTGCAAATCGAATAAAGAAACATATGCAATTGAGGCCACCTCTCTGTAATCATTTATTACATTTCTCTTAACCATAAGTTTTTGACAACTTAAAGCATCTTTAATACAATATTTAGCAATTTTACGTATATTTTCAGCGGTCTCGAGTGAGGTATTCTCCTTGCTTCGTGTATAATATTCTCTCATAACTTTTATTGGTAAATCTATTTTACTACCAAGACTATGTATCCCTAAGAAATAGTTGAGTGATTTTTTCTCAGATTTCGGATAAAGTTTTTCACAACATACTTTTACATCTATTGGAATGCAACCGGGAACTTTGAGAAAAGTAGATATAAAATTTTTATCTGGGGTGATTTTAATTTCGATCACTTCCCGATTCTTTTTGTTACCATTGTTTTTTTTTTTGGAAGACCCCCATGTTTGCTCTTTATGAAAGAAATCTTTATAGAAAGGTTCACCTACCCCTCTACAATAACTCCAACGAAGAATAGAATCGATTGTAGCCTTTTTTCATGGGTTTGCTGACATCTTTGCCATCATCCAATCTAGAATTTTTAGTTGGTAGCTCTTTTCACTACAAATGACTAGTCATACTTGGATCCATTAAAAGTGAGTTCGATATCAGGGCTAAAGCCCGCCAGCATAGAGCAAATGCCTTTAATAGATTCCTTTCATTTCCACAAATAATCGTGATCCAATTTGGGTCCGGTGACATTTCCACATCAACAAGGCAGATTTGTTTTAACGGGGTAGGATTATCTTTCCAGTGAACAGTCATACAAATCATAAATATATTATCTTCTTTATATTTCGCCATAGGGAAATGGTCTAATCCAAGCGTTGAATATATTTCTATATCCCAGGTAAGGACTAATGCTCGATCACGAGTAAGAAGTTGTGAAGGATAATTTTTGTATAAAATTAAGGGATTTTCCATAGAGTGGTAATTATTAACCGATAAATAAAAAGCATGTTCACATAGTGGTGAGCGAGTACTATAAGGCATTCCATTGCTATTGTATTTATAATCAGTTAATAATGCCCATCTAGAAAGTGGTATCCTATATTCTCTAGCAACTTTTCGATAATATGCTCTCGTATCATCCGAGGCTGTTTCCAGCTTATGCATACCTCCAATTTCTGAATTATGTTTTAGAATAATATTAAGAGCTATAGATCTTTGTTTTTTTGTATTTGTGAGAATACGTAAATATGTTAATTTTTCTGGATGATATCCTCTGATCGGAAAAGCCTTCACATATTCTATTCGGAGCTCAGTTATATCTACAGTTTCTCCTTCATCATCTTTTTCTTTAATAAGAATATCCTTTACCTTGGACTCAAATAACTTTGTATTCTTATTATTGGGAATACGAATATTGAAGAAAACTTTAATACCTGAAATAGTTACTATAGCTTTTTGACCATTAACAAGATAACCATAAAGTCATAAAACATAGTGTGGGGTATTATTTATATACTCATTATATTCCTCTATATCACAAGGCATAAATGGAATATCTTTCTCATTAATTAAATCTTGATTAATAGTTGCTGTTGATCCATAGTCATCATTTTCAGCGATTATTATATTGCAACTTGGATGGATTAGTAAATATTCTTCTTCATCATAGTAAAATACCTGGCTTTCCTCCTTACTTTCCAAAATCTTTGATTGAGGAAAAGCTTTAAGCCTCCAGCGGTAAAATGCTCTGCTATTTTCTTTCTCTATCTCTGGCTCAAAATTTTCAGAGTTTTCCGGGCTCTCTGGTTGAGAAGGTGGTGCTTCTGATTCTGCTAGCACATGATCAATGTTTTCTTGGATATACATGATTGGTAAAGTCAGGTTATTTTTGTAATATATTACCCTGATAAAAAAGTTTAAATCGAAAATAATTATTGAATATTTTTGCCTAAGATAATATTATACGGAATCAAGTAAGTTTCGACAAATAATAATCGATGACAGGAACTTATATTTGTCAGTATATTACTAATAAAGGAAAAGTTTGTAGACAGCCCTGCTATCGGCAAGAAGGATGTACTATTCATTGGAAAAGGCGTCAATGCGTCATCTGTTTAGAATGCGGTAAACCAACTGCTTCTAAGTATAGCTTATGTAATTTACATGCAGATAAATGTCATGCTAAAGCCTTTTATAATAGGAATAAGCTATCTAAAATGGTACAGAACGGACAGACAATAGAATCTTTGACACGGATCCTCGATGAAATTAAATTGTTGTTTATTGTTCCTAGAAAAAAACTGGCCCTAGAAAAAAAAAATAGCTAAAGTCAGAAGAAAGACTAGAAATTTAGCATTTTTCAGATTATGGAACCTTTTTTGAATAGCTGTCCCTAGTAACCCTAGTGGACCTAGCAAAATCTCGAGTTTCTTACTTTTATTTTTTTTTGTTTATCATACATATGTGTTATACGTATATATGTATATACATATTATCTATTATATACAGTAGCTACTATGGAGTAACGATTTTTTCTAGATTCTTATTTTTCTTAAGGACACTAGGGTTATTAGGGACAGAGATAAAAGAAAGAAATCAAACAGTTTCAGAAAATCAAAAAGTCAGCCTTAGTAGTGGCCCTAGTAAAATTTCACCTAGAGTCAACTAGAGTCAACTAAGGACAAAAATATTGATACATTTTGGTGTGTTATATAAATATAAAATTATCATCATATTTTTTATAAGTCGTGAGGTATCTAAGTGTGACGATGTGAACACAAATACATCGTCATATTTTTTATAGATCATGGGTACCTAAGTGTGATGACGAACTCGTGAACCAATCGTCACTTGAATGACGATGCAAGCGTGAATCATTCGTCACTTGAATGATGGAGCGAATACTAATATATCTCTGACGACGGTGATGCATTTCTGTTGTCACAACACTGATGACGGTGACACATTTCTGTTGTCATATCTGAGTAGGAATAACCTAGACTAAGTGGAAATAATATAATTATGTTATTTCTACTCATATGACAAGATTGGGTTCTTGGTTAAAGAGATATTCAATAAGGTGTATTAAGTCAGAAAGAAAAGATTATATTGAAAATATACAATGATTGCAGTTGTTATACAATTTTTATCAATCTGACATGGGTTATAATAGTGTTATGCTACCCAGGGACCCGTAAAAATTTGGATATCAAATTACAGATCTTTATTTGGATATTAGCAAATATTTGGATAAATTTGGATAAAAATTTTTTAATGTTTAAAATCACAAAAAAAGTTTTTTTATTATTGAAATGAATTTTCACTTAAATTTTATCTATTGTCTTCTAAAAGATTATTGTAAACAGAAAAGCCTCTCTCAACTGCACAAGACAAAATAATTTTTGTCGTGACTGATATTGAAATTTGAAATTTTAGGTGCATTTTTTTAGGTTAGATTAGAATTCATGTTAGAGTTATTAATAAAAGTATATCGATATATGGACTTTAGTAGGTTTAGTAAACCTAAAAGACGTTCAAAAAAAAGCTATCGAAAGATCAACCATTTTTTTTATTGGTCGGATCACATGTATAAAGACCTATTTTTATTGGTCAGATCATGTGTAACCCAAAAAATCAGCAAAAAATTTGGAAAAATTTGCGTTAAATAAAAAATTTGGAAATTTTGGGATTAAGTACAAAATTTGAAAAAATTTGGAAAATTTTATTTTCAAAATTTTACGGGTCCCTGATGCTACCTTATCCCTTTTTGTGCTTTTTTCATCTTTTTCTCTTTATGATAGAATCATTTTTAGAACATACTTTTTCATATATGTTTTTTTTTTGTTGTCTTTTTTTTTTCTAAATTTTATTTTTCTTTGGTAAATTTGATATATATTTTCTTTTATAGAAAAATAAGAGATAAACTATTTTGCCTAGATCTAGGTGGGAGAAATTTATAAGAAAGGATAGGTGGTCATGATGGGCTGGTAGATCCTGGCCAGTAAATTGTGAATCCAAAATCTGAGATAGATCTAGGAGAAGCACTTCTGCTCTGGCAGGTTGCACATAGTCCCAATTGGAAACCAGGTGAATCGCACTTTAGTATAAAACAGCTTGGCTGTAATTAAATATTCAAATGTAAAAATTTGTTCCGTCTATGTCAAATAATAAAGTTGTGGTATAACCACTTGTTATATAAAAAAAAAATAAAAAAGTTATTTCTTATATAAATATGCACAGTATATACGTGTATATAGTATATGTTTATTTTAAAACCTTGCTACGTATATATTGAATAATTAGTTATGAAAAGGCTTGTAAAAAAAACTTATTGACGGTATCTATAATTTACGTTAAACCAGTACTGTTGTATAGAAATAGGGACCTTGATGATGATATTATCATCTTTAAGATTTTATAACAATACTGGTTTGACGTAATTTTATATAATATGAATGCCGCCTTATTTTTATATGCATTGATCATCTGGCATTTTCGTCAGGTGGGTGCAGTTGTTATAAAAAAGAGATTATCTATTTAGTTGCTTGCATACAAGTATGCAGGTTTTTGCCCGTACACAGTCAAGGTATTATCGTCTGTCGCAACAAATTCCAATTAGAACCTTTACAACCAGTACAATAAATCGCGCAGCTCAAGGTGGTTCAGTGTCCGTACAGCCACCTGACAAAAAACGGATCGGCGCGTTCCGAGGGGGGTGAGTGTCAATATAAGAAAGCTTGAGCTGTCTCACTTTTTCTGCTGTTATCGAAGGCATATGTCACCATTCTGAACACTGACACATGGAAATCACTTTTATGATGTGAGAAAAACTTTTTGGATAATTAATTGCATTTCGGTTGGCGGGGATTGAGTAAGCCAATATTGATTTATTATTATTTCTTTGATTGTGTGATTGATTATTAGTTGGGCTCGGTTTGAGAGTAGCCTTATTGGATTTTTATTAGGTTTGTCAATTGCGGGCGGATCGGGATACTACTACCTTCTGGATGAATATCATACCGCGTCGAATCTTTTATTAAGTTCAGTTGAAGAATTACAGAAGTCCACAAGCAAGGTTATTAGACATTATTAATTTTTATATTTATATAAAATTTAATTTTCGATTTTATTGATATGTATTTGTTTGAATTATCTCGTGAATTATTAATAAAATTTATATCTTGGATTGGCCCTAGGTGCATGATTATGCACAAAAAATTGAAAGAGTCGAGGACGAACTAAAAGCTCTACAAGAAAGCGCAGCCACTACAGATCAAGTAAAGGAGTTGAGGAGTGAAGTTCGAAAATTATATGTGACTATTATTATTATTATTATTACTGTTATTGTTATTGGATGTATTTTTTATTTAGTCGATAGCTTTTTTATTCTCAATCTTTATCAAAAATTAGGATGGACTTGATCAACAGAATCTTGAATTAAAAGCCGTAGTATGGAATCTCGGTGAGTAAAGATATTATTCATTGACGATTTATCGAAACATTCCTTCACCTTATTTGACTTGTAGAATGCAAACACTAATAATTTATGCAATTAGAGCAAGATATTCATTCTTTATTGAATGGTAATCAAAAAAGTAGTTAGTATGTAATAAACATATAGGACAGTGTTATTGTTTAGAGTTTGGAACCTCGCTGGACCTTTCGATCTTTATGTTCCAATGGTTCCAATGAAAACTTCACCGAAGAATAATCTCACTGGAACGAACCAATAAAAATGTATATGTAGTTATATTAACCAATTAAACAAGTATACAATTGGTTTTATCCATTAGTCTATTGTAGAATCATGTGTCTATACAATAAAATCATATGTGTATGTACTATTATAAATTTTTGTAAAAAAAAAAAAAGATTTCTGTGTGACAGATGATTTTTGATAATCACAGTTCGTTTTAATAAAAAAACCATTATTTTGTATCGATATAACGATAAATTAAGCAGATTATTATATTGCAAATGCCCATGCTTGGCACTAGTGCCTACGTACGAGGTGCATGAGCGGGTCTTTATGCTTACAACATAATGTACCCAACATGTGCCTGGAACTTTGTGCCCGCGCCTACAAAGTGCCCAGCATGCCCATGCCTGACAATCGATCATGAAAATTGCATTATCACGTGAATACAATGCAATCCCTCATATAGTTAAAATTCGTGACTATTAACGGTTAAAATATATAAAAATGGACATCCATCTTTTAGCAAATCAGTGCTGCTGTTGACATTGACATTATGACTTCTCAAGAGCAAAAAGTCTTGGAAATTCAAGTTTCTCCTGAAGAATCAGAATACCTCGCGTTCTTACAAAAGACTGCACAACAAGCACAGCGTCTTAAGGAAATTCAACAACAGCAAGAGTACGAAATTATTACTCGGGAGGAAGATCCAACTACATATCCGTCCGAAATCCAACGTATTAGAGAAGACTTACTTGAAGCTAGTGCTCAACTTTTGTATATATCAGAAAGTGAAGAACCTTATGAATTTATATTTATTCCAAACGATCAAATTACTTCTCTTCCAACAAACACCACAGAGTTTGTAAATTTGATTAAACAATGCAATATCAATATAATGACTGAAGAGGAGAAAGAAATAGGAGAAAGTCGTGTCATGACGTTTCAAGAGTTTTTTGAACCTTTTACTGGAGCTAATGCACAGGACCCATATGGCCAAAAAGATGGATATAAAGAATTACAAAAAATTGTTGAAGCTATTTTTGGTGGTAAAGATAATGTAAAGATATATAAAATTGGTGAACAACGTAGAGTCGGTGTATATATCGTCGGATTGATCAAAGGCACTGGAATTACTGGACTGAAGACTATAAGTGTTGAAACATAATATAATCGATCAAATACGATAATATATATACCAATCTATATAACAAATTGAATATTAATACATAGCATCATAATTTATTATTAGCTTTGGAAACTTTAGCATTAATTAATCTTTTTTTTATCAAATAAATAAATATTATTCACTATTTAATTCCAAATTAGTTACAAATTGGAAATAACAGCTAATGTAAAATTGGTAGTTGTAGAAGTACCACCCATATCAGGAGTTTTCGCCTATTTATAAAAAAAAATAATTCATTTTAAACGAAAAGTCTGATTATGAATACATGCATTACAAAGTTGAAAATTCATTAATTACCGATCCTCGTTTTATCGTTTGTTTCACAGCATTATGAATCCTATTAGCGTAATCATCGAGACCTAAGTGATGTAGCATCATTACTCCGGAAAGGATTAAAGCCGTAGGGTTAGCAGTATTATGCCCTTGAATATCTTTACCAACATGACGACAACCCTAAAAAACAAATCGATATTTATATTAAAAATCAATAATATGGTAAAACTATATTGATAAATAAAATAACACTCAATTTATTTACCGGTTCAAATAAAGCATATTCCCGACCTATATTTGCGCCAGGAATAATTCCAGGACCACCAACAAGTGCCGCACCAACATTGCTTACAATATTACCATACAGATTAGGCATAACCATAACATCAAATTGCTGTGGCTTGGAAACCAATTGCATAGAACAATTATCAACGATCATGTCGTCAAATTGAATTCCTGCTGCTTTATAATCTTCAGCAACTTCACGACAGGTATTAAGAAAAAGGCCATCACCAAGTTTCCTATTTAAAGTAAATAATGTCAGCTTAAGTTTAAATTACATTTGAAAACATAATTTTATTAGGAAATATTCAATACATGATATTAGCTTTATGGACGCAAGTAACTTTTTTTCGATTATTCTTAAGGGCAAAATCAAAAGCAAAACGTGCGATACGTTCCGTTTTTGTTCTAGTTACAATTTTTAAAGATTCTACAACTCCTGGGAAGGACTGTTGTTTGGGTAATAATTGTGATCACTCACAAAATAAGTAAAAAAATATATAAATAAAATACATAAATACATCTATCATACCTGATGTTCCAATCCAGTATATTCACCTTCTGTATTCTCGCGAATGATTGCAAAATCCACGTTAGTGTGACGCGTTGGATAACCTTTAATGTTTTTGATAAGAACTAAAGATGCATATATATCGAGATCTCTGCGTATAGTAACATTGAATGATTGATGACCCAGCTTAGATATAGGAGTGTATAAAATGCCTGAAAAAATAGTAAAATATTTCAATTTAACAATTTAAAAGAATTATGATTGTTTGTTTTTTAGTTTTTATTTTATTTTTTATTAAAAGTTTTCTTACCTTTCAATGCTACTTTGTTCCTTCTTATACTTTCAATACTTTGCTTAAATAAAATATCACCTTCTTGAGTATAACCTGTGACATCAAGTTGATCCCATTCGATTGGAACATTAGCAGCTTTGAAAATCGTTTTTACGGCTGCCGCAGTTTCTTGACCAATTCCATCACCCGGGATCAATGTTGCTGTAAATTTTCCTCCATATTTTGTAGTATCCGACTAAGTTTGAAACAATTTATCAAAAAATCAAAAACCAAACACATTTATTAGAAATTATTAATCTTGCAAAATATATATATATTTCTTTATTCCTTGAATTCATATTTCAAAACCATGAAAACACTATTTACGAAGAAATAAAAGCACACCTGAGAAATAGGAATAGAGCTCACTGAGCGAGGAAATCCCTTTGAAAAAAAGTAAAATTATTATATATGTACATTCGTGCATATATGCCTCTCTTGATATTTACAAAATTACAAAGAATCCCGTACTTGCTTGGCGATATGAATAAATGGTGTCGTTGCCCTAGCAAATGTTTTGAGCATTTTTGGTGGTGAGAGATAATATAATCATCTCTTTGTTTGTAATAGGTATAAGCATAAAGATAAATATGATAATCTAGTGTAACACAACAATAAGTGAAAGGTAACCAGCAAATTATCTAGGGAGTGACAAACAACTATTCGAAATCTCTTCGGTTTCATTCTAATCACCTAACTTCGGAAATTATTCACTATCTTTGATTCGGAGATAGTGACGTAATTTCCGAAGAGTTAGAAAGATTCGTAGGACGAAAAAACGAAATATAAGAAACGAGAGTATCTAAAGTACATAGGTGGCAGGGTCTTGAGCATGCCAGTGATGTGACTCACTACGTCATGTGCGAATCCCAAATTGCCGAAACTAGTTTAGGATTTGCCGTAACAAAAACCAAATAAAAATATTTGATCACTACGTAGCCTGGGAGCATGCAGATCAAAGAGCATTCCCTTGTCACATGGTTTTAAAAAAAAAAGGACAGGGACAATCAAATTATGTTATATACACCAAATTATGTGATATAAGCATCTTATGTGAATTCGATCCCAATAATTTCATTAAACAGCAAGAGCGGGATCAACTCAAGAAAGAATTATGCGAAGAGAATTGGATTGTTTTAAGATACGTTTGGTATTACGAAGACCCATATAAAGTTATTTCAGAGCATCTACAAGAATTGGGTCTCATTGAATAGTTAAAACTTAGTAATTCCACTTATTCTCGATCAAAATCATGTGACGATATTTTATTTTATTTTTTTACAGTACATATTCACATATACGTTTATAAAAAACATGATTAATAATATTTCATTAAGCGTACTTGCTCAAGGAAAAGATCTACCATTGATAAAATGCGTTATCAGCAATTAAAGAATAATTCTCTGCTAAGGCAAAAAAGGCTCAACAGAAACAATTCCCATACCTCAATACTCTTTCATATCCAAAAAGTTTTCATACTCTTTATTCGTATGCAAGTCCATATACTATGAATAGTAGGTAAAAAAATATTAGATTAAATAGTTCTGGAATACAGTATTGCACCTGTCCGTCACAAGACCTAACCGTCGTCGCAAGAAACGTCACAAGACACCGGGCTTAGGACAAGGTGCGAATGTAACAGTTGTCCGTTGCAAAACCTAACCTATCATCGCAAGATGCAGGCTTAGGACGAACTGCCAATACTCGCAAGAGTGTTCGAATTCGAAATAATATACTTATCTTTTGTATGACTATTACGATTAATTAGAGGTACATAAGCGCTGTGTAGTTTATATAGACATCTGAGAAAAAAGGCTCAACAGAAACAATTCCCATACCTCAATACTCTTTCATATCCAAAAAGTTTTCATACTCGTATGCAAGTCCATATACTATGAATAGTAGGTAAAAAAATTATTAGATTAAATAGTTCTGTTGCACCTGTCCGTCGCAAGACCTAACCGTCGTCGCAAGACACCGGGCTTAGGACAAGGTGCGAATGTAACAGTTGTCCGTTGCAAAACCTAACCTATCATCACAAGATGCAGGCTTAGGACGAACTGCCAATACTCTCGAATTCGAAATAATATACTTATCTTTTGCTTCTTATATAGACATCTGAGATGTAGATTACACATTACGGTCATGGGGTTTTAAAATCTAAGCCACCGACACCTGCACCCAGTGTTGTACATGGACATACATTCAAGCAAATTATTGGAGTTCATGGACACAATGTGGACAGTTTATGTTCATGTCCATGTCCATTGACAACACTGCCTGCACCTACTTGGCAGAAACTTGAATTTTTGCCATTTATGATTATCATATGAATAGTTGAATAGTTATATAACTATTATATGATAAAAATATGATAAAAATATTTTAATAAAAAAATATAATAAATATATGATAAACATATATTAAAAGTACTGTATTATTATAATACTTTAACCATATTTTTGTAATTTTGTTAAGTCACTATTAACACGATTAATACCATATATTTATATTATAATTATAATATAAGTATAATCTAATATTATTTTGTAATTATCTAATAACAATCTAATAGCAATCTAATATAATACAGTATTTTAATAATATAGTAGCAATCTGTTTAAAATAATTAAATAATGTTACTAATATCTTAACACTTAACAATATGATAAAAATATGGGGAATTTACATATAGGTACCCGGAAAGTGAAAATAATTACAAATAAGTGCCCAGACTAAAAATAATTACATAAGTGCCTGATATTTAAAAAATATTACATATAGGTGCCCAAGAACGTATTGTGACTCAAGCCTGTGGCTTGATCATCATTAATTAAGCATAGCATAAGAAATGTAATCATCAATTGTAAATTAGTACATAGTATAAGAAATGTAATCATCGATTGTAAATTAGTATGTAATTATAAATGAAAGAAAAAATGGGCTTTTCATCTTTTTTTTTTTTTAATAACCTTCATTTGCTTTGTTAATATTACCTATTTTTATAACAAACCTGATCAATAATAATCTCAAATACAATACTGCAAATCGGTATGAAATTTCCTGATATGGAAAGCGTTTGCTCAGCTCTAGAGAACTACTCAGTTAAAACATTTTCGCCTTATAAATTTAGGACTAATAACTCCAACAAACTACTTAGCCATGATCAAACAAGCAGGACGACCACGAAAAATTTGTTTATGTAGCCGTGCAGAAACTGCACCAGAAGACCAACTTACCTGTGGTAAAAAAGGGCATAACGTATATACTTGTAGTCAAAGGTGTGTATTGAAAAAATAAAAATTAGTTCTTTAGTTTGAGGCAACATGCATAGACGCTTAATTTTTATATCTAATGTAAAGTTTAAATTTTTTTAATAAATATTATTGCAAAAATAATTATAACCAATGCTT